GGGGGGGGGGGGGCAGATGAAGGCCTCCACAGAAAGGGAAGGAGTGGGGTTGGGGCAGGTGCTGCCCAGCCAAGATAGAGGATGGAGCCATAGGTGGCTTACTGGGGTGGGACAGGGAGGGGCAGCAGCTCCCACTGCTGCACGCACCCCCAGGGGAGGGTGAATTTAATGTGATCCACAATTGTTAAAAAAGTATTTTTTTTTATTCCAACCCTCAAATCATTAATGAAAATACCAGACAGAACTGAAGCCAGAAAAGCCCCCTGTAAGATCTTACTTGAGACGCCGTCCCAGTTTGACAGCAAACAACTGATAAGTAGTTTTGAGAGCAATTTTTCCACCAATTTTGTACTCACCTGATTATGATTACATCTAGACATCTTCCTCTTTAGCTTGTTCATGAAGATGTCACTTGGGATAGTACCAAAGACCTTAATAAAGTTAAGAAAATTCTCATCTATTGCTCTCTTATCCATTAAGCCAGTTACCCTGTGAATGAAGAAAATGAGACTGGTTTGACAAGATGGTCTTGACATGCTTGTAACAGTCTCTTCTTTTCATTCATCTTTGAGATACTTGCAAGTTAACTGCTTACAAATTTGTTCCAGTACCTTTCCAGAGATCAAAGCTAAGCTGGCTGGTCCTTTCAACAAGAAGGGAAAATGTGCATTTTGCTTGCCCTTCTCCAATCCTTTGGGATCTTGCTGCCCTCCCCCAACAAATTCTCAAAGATAATCACTGACGGTTTGGAGATTACTTTAGCTAGTTCCTTATGCACTGTAGGATGCTTTTAGTCATCTTGAACACAACTATCTTACCTAAATATTCCTAAACCTGTTCTTTAAAAGTTCTGGCAAGACCTCCCAGCATCCTGTTAAAATTTCATTTAATTAAGAATCCAAAAAGTGCTTTTTTCAGTGATGGACCTAACTTCAGCCTTCTTTGTGTTCCCTGTTGTCACTAGTTCACCCATTCCATAATAGATCCCTACTCCTCTTTGTTTTCCTCTTCTGGTTGCCTTTTATGCCCTTGCTAATTTTAACCTGTTTTGCCCCTTAGCCTTTCTGAGCACCTCCAGACAAGCACACACATGCCGTCTGCAGTACCTCAAAGCTGTTTGAGGCACTGCAAACCATATGCAGCAGAAGTGGACCCATTCACCATACTGCTAATTTCCAGTGCAGTGCCAAAATTTGACACCAGGGGGGTCTTGGTGTCAAAAAAGCCACAGAAAAAAAAAAAGCAAAGTCACACATGCAGCAGCAGCATGCACCACCAGAAATGGAGCCTGGCTGCCCCAGGCAGCTGGATCAGCACCACTGCTGCACTGGGAGGTCCCCAGTAAGACTGCTGGGACCCCTAGCCCACCTGAGACAATTTGCAATGCACTAGAGCACACATGCAGGGCATGCCCTGGATCAAAAGACATGCTGTGGGAAACACATTCCCCTGCATGTGTGCACATTTGAACGCACCCTCTGATTTTACCCTTATATGATTTAGGTTCACCCTGAGGCAAGAGCCCTTCTTTCAATCTCTCGTAGGAGCCCGCTCTGATCCTCAGGTCACTGAAAGAGCTCCTTGAGCAGGTAGAAAAGGCTCAAACTACTATGCCGCCTACCCTTCTGCTGGATAGCAGGCAGTTGTGCAGTTAACAATGTCTCTCTCAGACCCCTGCCACGTTACATATATCATGCAATTAACTTGTGAACTGTGCCATACGTTTAGACCTGGGCTAACTGACAGTGGCCATAAGCATGGAGTAATTATCACAGACTGAACCAGTGAACCACAGCACTACATCTAGACTGGTCTCACATGCAAAGTATCATCACATGATCAAAATGACTACCCAGTTATAAAGCGAGTCAACCAGCTGTAGGCCCCTGCAACACTGTACATATATCAGCACTCACTGGCAAGTGCCAGGCCACACCTGCAACGTAATTATCACCTGATAAAAAAGAACAATCCAGAGATAAAAAGCTATAAACCTAGGGCTTGAAAATGCCTGACAACTCTTGAGTTGGTCTCTAATCCATCCTGAAATACAAGCATTTGGTGGGGACCCTCAGCCATGAACTCCCCAGCTCTTCTGCACTCCCTCCTCTCCCGGGGCCTTGTTACACAGTCATTCTGGGCCGCTACTGGACCTCTTAACCGCTGGATTGTCCACACATTAACAATGTAAAATGGTTTTAAGCACTCGTTATGCGGCTCAATGTGACACCACTTGAGTGCAGGATCATCTCCAATCTGCCAGACCCAGCTCCCCTTCCATTAAGGTGCTGAAACCCTCCAGGATCCCAGGCTCTCTCACCCACCCACAGAGAAGAGACAGAAACCTGTGCTGGCCCCCAGCTCCCTCAATCACAAGTTTCATCAATCAGTTTGACCTAAATCAGTGAAGCCTGATCTGACCTCCAATCAGGCTGATCTGCGACCGGTTCTGGCTGCTTTGAAAGAGGTTTACGTGTGCTTAACTTCTGCTCTGTTACAGGTGTAAGCTAGTTCCCAATTGCTTAAACTGGTTTGTGTGCAACTTCTACCCCGGCCTGTAGTGAGTCACAGCGACAGCTCCTAGTCCTGCCCCCGGCTCACCAGGCCTCTAGTGGCAAGTGGGGGCGGGCAGAGAAGGTTTCCAGGGTGCGAATTTCAAACTTCAAGGTGGCGCTGATGCCCATCAACAGTCTCGGGAGCCACAAGGCCCTCAGACCCCCCATCCCCCAGCCTCGCTTTGCTCCCTACACAGGTAACCCCCCGCGAGCCAAGGCCAGCTGCCCGCCCCCGCTACCCC